TTCGGTGTCCCCTGCATAGTCACTGTCACAATAGGCATGAAGCGGTAGCTCCCGCTCTCCGGCGGGACCCTCTTCGACTCCTTCCAGCTTTGTCACGTGTCCAAGGTCCTTTGTCCCCTTTAGGTATCTCCCTAAGACCTTCAGGTTCGCCATGTCTGCTTTCCTGGGATCCTTCATCCTTCGCGCCAGCTCCTTCACCGCAAACTTCACGTCAATTCTGTCCTGTGACAGATATATGGCGCTTCCAACACACGATTGGTAAACCTTTTTCTCCTTCTCGTCGAGGAGCTCTTCGCTAGAGTCGTTGAGTTCTAGCTTCTTTCCAGGCACTGGTCCGCCCTTAGCGTCTTGGAGTCCCAAAAGCTTAAGGATGTTGTCTGTGTGTTTTGCGTTCGGCTTGGTGAGCACGGCTTGCTCCACACTGATCTTCTCACGACCAAGAAACTCTGAGCTTGTCTTTCCGTGTTTCTCTCGAAACTCAAACTCCCCGACCTTCACCTTGCAACCATGCTTGGGTAATTCAACCTTCAAGAGATTGTTCAAATCATCCTCTGGTCCCGTCACGTCAAAATCGTCTATGTGGGGTATTACAACCACCTTTGTCTTCTTGCACCTGAATATGCATCCATCCAGACGTCCTCGTACGAAATCGTATCGGTCTTTCGGCAACTTGTTGACGATGATCTCTTCAAGCCTGTCCCTGTACTGGCTTGCTGCGGGTTGTCTCTCGTAGATGTTACCATCTACCTGCCAAACCAAATGCTCTTTTGGGATGCCCTCTAGCTCCTTTCTCTTTTCTTCAGGTTGAGCTGCCAGCCAAACCTCAAAATTGTCCAGCCATTCTCGTGGTGGCTTCATGCATACTGGCTGTCCTTTATCATCACCTTGATCTCGGGCTATGAGGAATGCTGATGTAAGGTCTGCTTTTACACGTGGGAAGTTGTGGTACAAGCTGTAGATCTCCAGCATCTTGCAGGTGCTGTGTCCTGGGGTTGGACAAAAGTTGTTCTGCCCTTCAGAGGAGTTCTTGTCCTCGTTGCTGTTCCGCTTGAAGTCCTGACAAGTCAGCCTAGACTTTGCGATCCCATTGCTGACCTTGTCCACCCAACAGTGTCCAAATACCTTTATTTCCTTCGGTAAGACCCTACGGTCACGAGGGGTAAAGGCATTGAACATCACGTCAAGCTTGTCGATTTCCTCAAGTCTGGCTTGGTGTCTTGCACCTTCATCCACAACACACGAATCCAAGTAGTCAGCCACAGAGGCCAACTGGTCTCTTTTCTCAGACTCCTCAAGGATTGCGCTGATGGCTCCCTCCATTGTGGTAGCACCCACGGGCGTTTCCGCCTCTTGGGTGTCACCCCGATCTACAGGTCCTACTCGGGGTGTCCAGAGTGTCTTGATCTGGATCTTGACGTGGAGGAGCTTGAGCTGGACGGGCTGTCACTGCTGCTCGCCTCTCCAGGCACTGCTCTAGAGGCCAATGCTGTCGGACTCTGTGACTCGACTGCTGGAGCTGGCTCTGATTTGGCTTTGGCTGTAACGTCTGTTCTCCTGACCTTTGTAGTCCTTTCTGCCTCTGCTGCCATCCTCTTTGCTTCATCTGTCCCACTCATGTCCGCATCAATCTGGATAGCCTCTCCTCCAGCATCCTCAGCTTCACGGCGTGTGGTGTGCATGCTCTGGGCAGGCACTGGTGGCAAAACAATGATAGCTTCTGCAGGCTCACTGTCTTTAGGCTCTTCCTTGTCAGGGACTTGGTCCTGGGCGCTCACTTCAGGGACGATCTGAACTCTCAGCTCACTCTTTGCTGCTTCAGGTTTGTTCTGTTCGGCCTTGTACACTGTGTTCCACGGCACTCCAGCTGCTCCGTCTAAAATGCTTGCTTGATAGCGCTTTCCAACCGCCATCCTTCTGACAGTCCGGAATGTCTGCGCACCGGCGCTGGTCAACAGGATGTGCTCATCTGAGCTGTTTGTTTTCCCAGCATAGATTCCACACACCCATCTGGTGGCACTCTTAGCACCAGACTTCTTTGCTGAGTACTTTCCCAGCGCACACTCACCAAAAGGAAGACACTCAGCGCCGTAGTCATATCCCTTCAGCACTCGGAACGGAGTAGTTCGGGTCTGGTTGATGTGAAATCTTGTTAAAGACCAGCTAACAAATCTGACAATCCAAGGAAACAGAATGTCTGTCGTCTGACTCACCTTGTCGCTGTAGCTCTCCTTCAGGCTGGCCACCCAAGTCCTGACCTTGCCCGCGATGAGTCCATTCACCATCTCCCCATCCGCCAGGCTCTGTGATGAATACCCCGGGCTCTTCCGCAACGCCACCACTTCAATGCCCATCCTCTGCTGCACTTGTTCGAACACCTTTGCGAGGGCACTCTCCTGATCGATCTGAATGGTGACCTTCTTCCACCCTAAATCCTTTATCCAATCAACGAGCGCGTTGACTGCATACGAACTCCGCTTGGCACCTTTGTGACGCACCTGCACAGCGAAAGGGCATTGACTGTCCTTGTCAATGGCTGTCAACACGATAGCCACGCTCTTCAGCTCCTCGGCGTCCTTGTTCTTTTCGACCTCCTCCTTGCTCTTCTGCTTCCCTTCGGCTGTGAAGTACATGTAGTCACTATAAATGATGTGCTCCTTGGGGTCCTCGTGTTGGCGTCGGTGTGGTCTCTCTTTTCCTTGTCCTTCAACGCAAACCTTACACCATGGCTCAAAGTTTGCATGATGCAATGAATGCTCAGCAATCTCCGCAGGGCTAGGCTCAACTGGCTCAGCCATCAGAGGCTGCTGCTTCGCTTCATCGCGTTCCTTTAGTTCCCACAGCGTCAGGTCGTCATCATCCTGTGCGTCATCCGCATCAGGTGATGGCTCAGCGTCTCTCTCATCTTGGGCCTTCAGCTTGAACACCGTCTCTCCAGTCCAGTGCTTTCGCAGGGACGCCCTGGGATTCTTGACACCGAACCAGTGATCCTCGAAGCTTTCGCCGTCACCATCGCGGCGGTCAACCCACTTGGCTTCAGCGGCTCGGCTTGGTTCCAAGTCTCCTACGATCACCGGGCAATCATCAGCATCTGCAGGGCTGAACATCTTTAGGCTAGGCACCACATGAACACGGACAACCAAGTCCCGCTCAAGTCGCCAGTAATCTCTCTGCTTCTTTTCGCTCACTGGGATCCTAGACGACGAAGATGAGGTAGCACCCTCAAGCGCTGCAACACGCTGGGCAGTGTCACCTACCTCATCAGGCCAAACCTTTCCAACCTTCAGGTACCACCTCTTGCCTTTCTTGATCAACGGGTACTTCTTGCCATCTTTCACGAGGTAGCTTCCGCTCCGACGAAACATGACATCGTAGTCTCTCTCCACAAGGTTGTGCACACTAATTAAGAAGAGTTTCACTGGCATCGGTGACTGTGAGGTCTACTTCCCCTACGGTGCCATCCAAAAGCCTAATCTTTGGGAACTGTTTCCCATAAATCTTCAAAGCGGTACCTTGCACAGAGAACAGTTGCTTGCCATACGGTAGGGGCTTGAAGTCATCTTCAAACTCCCCTTTCCGAGCTACGTTTTCACAAGCTCCAGAATCAATCAGCATGTAAACGTCTTCACTGACACTGTCATCACGGATGCCACTGATTCTGTCTGTTACTGCAAACAACATGTGACTGTGATCGCTCTCTTCCACATGCTCAGAAATGGATCCTACGCCTCCGGTGGAAGCTTGCGCTTCCGCACCCGCTTGCTCTTCGGAAACGTCCGAAACTTTCCACCAGCAATCAGCTGCAATGTGACCATACTTCTTGCAAATGTGGCACTGTTTCCCAGCGTGTGGGTTGTTGTCAGTTCCTTTTCCTTTTCCTTTTCCTTCCTTGTTTCCTTTACCTTGCTTTCCTTTTGAGTCCTTTCCGTTTCCTTGTTTTCCTGTTTCTTTTCCTTTTCCTTTATCCTTCCCACCTTTCTTTCCTTTTCCTTTGTCCTTACCTCCCCGATTGTCCCAACCTCGGTTGTCACCCCCTTTTCTCCAGCTCCAAGGTTTGTTGTTGTCGCCCTTGTTGTTGTTGCCCTTTCCTTTTCCTCCATAATCCACGGCTCCTATGTCTATGGGCGCAGGGCCACCATCGTCAAGCTGAGACTTCTTTGGTGCACCGAAACTCGAGCCTTCGGGTCTTTTCCAGAGGTTTCGGGAAGTGAGGTACTGCTCAATGTACTCTTTGGTCTTGCTGTAAGTGTCAAGCGTATTGCTGTGAAGAAAGATCATCTGCTGAATCTCCTTAGGCGCAACATGAACCAAAACACTGAGTTTGTCATCAGGCTCAATCTTGCGAAACTGCTTCTCAAACTCACTGACTTCGGCCTCCCACTGGTGAAAGGCTTCCGACCACTTGTTGATGTCGCCAGGGAACTGCGGATTCATGAGATGTCTTCTCCATACCCAGCTCTTTGTTCTGTTGCTAGGCTCGTTTGTCCTACTTAGCATGCGCCAGACCTCAAGACCATTTCCATCTGGCACCTGGGTAATCAACTGCTGTGTCTGCTCAGAACAATAACCGACAAGGATAGCGTAAAGAGCTTGGCTCAACTGCAAATCCTCAAGCGTGACATCCTCACCGTCATGGTCAATGTTCTCTTTCTGCTTGGATGCCCAGTTCAACAAACCAGGATACCTAGCATGAATGGTTCCTATCCATGACATGAAAATATGCTTCCACCGCTCCCAGTCTTCTTTGCGACCAGAGAACGTAGGCGGTCGGGGGATGTTCCTAGGGTCCACCAGTCGCCCCCCGGCCCTCTCGCCTTGATGTGAGTTGGTTCTGAGCTCTGTGAGCTCTGTTTGCTGCTTTGTGATTTCTGCTTGCTGCTTCAAAATTTGATCACTCTGTCCCATCATCCGCGCGCCCATTTCGGCCATTTGTTGCTGCATCTGTAACAGCTGTTGTTATTCCCGGAGCTCGATTCCGCAATCAATCATAATCAAACAATCATTTAATTATGTGGGAAGTCGAATATAAGAAAACATATGAAATTGGAATGCAAGCGGTCTGAAGGTTTTCGCACATGCGATCTGGGATTCGAGCATTCGTGAAACACATCCTGCACGGCATATGTGGAATAACACACGCAGCCCCATCGGGCGGTGACCATTGTCACGAAGCGAGGAACATATCCCCAAGTCAAGACGAGCGTAGTGATTCGCCCGTTGCAAAACAAGCAGGATGGTCCCGGATCGCATGTTCGCACATCGGAAAAGTCCAGCAGCCCCTTGAAGGAGGATCGGCGGGGTTGGACTGAGAGGGCACCCTAGCGTACCACCCAATGCAAGGCTTGGCATCCGCCTTTTCAAGATGGACAAGCAGAGATCTCCAAAGCTCATCCCTCGATGTGCAATTGATGGTGGCAGAGAGCACTCCCACATGGTCGATGAAGTAAAGCACCCTTCGATCATCAAGAAGACTACCCCAGGCGAATCGCGCAAGCACTAAAGCATACAACTCGACAAGCCCTATCAGGTGCTTCTTGCCACTCGCTGACCACTGGTCGACCAAAGAGTCGCTCAGCGTGGCCCCGAAGTATCGAACCTTCACAGCCCCATTCCAAGAAGCATAAAGCACCCCTCCAACAGTGCAGAGTGGACGAGCAGCACCAGGCTCGCAGGCACCATCAGTGAAAACGACAAGCGAGGGTCCAGAACTGCTAACCTGTATGCGCCTGGGCTCGCCAGAGTCCATGCGCATCCGCAGGACAGCAAAGGCATCACGATCAGTGGGAGACAGTCGATGAACTCCAGAGCCTCGAGAGAGCTTCCTAAGCGTGCTCAAAGCCAGTTTGCCCCTGCGGCCCATGATTTGTGAATCAGCATACTGAATCCTCCCAAACAAGCTGTCGACTTCTCTGACCACCACTTGGCCGTCCGATAGGACTTTAGCGACCGCCTCGGAAATTTCACGGGCTCTGTCAGGCTTGTTGGCCACCGTGACACAAGAAAAATCCTTAGCCCTAAGATCCAAGCGAACACCCAAAAGATCGGCAACCGAAGAAAAGGGCAACTCCTTATCCTCGGAGCAGGTCACTCCCAAGAGACGCATGAGCTTGCGAATCGTCTTCTCGGTGTTGGACGAGAGCATACTAACATCGAGCACCGGGTAATCGTCATAATAGTTGCAGGCCAGACACTCCAGCTCAACAAGAATGCGATGAATCAAACGGGCAACGCGATTGAACTGCCCCACGCTCGCAAGCGAGCCGAAAGGTAGTGTATGTGAGATGAAACCAAAGGCTTGCCCGTCAGAGGGCCTTCGGAGGCTGACAACACACCTCTTGCTGTCACGTGGCCTTATGGCATACTGTTTATAAGCAGATTTCAAATCCACGCACTTCAAGACTGGGCGCGCGGACTCAGGCCGAGTGCGCCACACGGTATGCAACGGGCCGCTGATCACCTCTCCAGAGGAAAGACGAAGGTTCACAGAACCTCGGTCAACGATGGATTGCATAAGCCTTGACGTTATCCAAAGAAGTTCGTCCATCGCGCGCAGGTCAATCTTTTCCGCCACCTCCCAGGACGAGTTAACACTGTTCTCAGACAAATCGTCAATGCACCGCAGCTTCCCCCGCTGGAAGATCGCGAACCTCCGAACAGGTATCCAGTGCGGACCCAAAATCTCAGTAAGCTCCTGGTAGCTGTACGGGCCACTCAACCAGGACTTCTGGTCCCTCTCGGCAAGAGTCTGGCTCCAGAGCTCGGCATCGGAATCCTCAGGCTTTGATGCGGAAATCTTGGCCCACAGGGCCGGTCGCAAGAACTTAGATCTCTGATCAAGCTCCTCCTCAGTGAACTCCGAAGGTTTAAAGGAGGTAGCAAAAACCCCCGTGACAGGCGCGGAACCCACTATACTAAACCCCTCCTTAAGGTCACTTAAGAGATCTTCATCTGGCCAGGCAAGGGATTTGGCAATGCGATCCAGCAGCAGCAACTTTTTGCCAGAGAGGACCGCACCAACTCTCGGATCAAGCGAGGCGTGAAGAGCCTTCTCAGGTTCGGCCAGTTCATTGGCCCAAGCAGACCACCGGTTAAGCAGATCCAGCCGGCGTCGCATGACGGGCAAAGGACCGTCGATAAGCAGCCGCCCCAAATTCCGGATGAGGCCATCAGGCACATGTGCAAACGCGTCAAACGGGTGCTCGAGACGCAGGCTGGCGGCAACAAACTCATCGGGGGTCCGAAACACGCCAAACGTGGCGGTGGCGGGGGCATCCGGCAGAGGGGCTAGGGACTTAGGCTTAAGACAACCGCCCCCAAGAAAAGCGAGCCTAAGGAGCCTAGCACCCTTGGGTACGGACGGCAAAGACGTCCGCAGGCATTTCTTGTCATCCAGCGGCAGCCGGGAACAATCTGCGACATGGACGCTGACCATGTATTTGAACTCAGGCATGATGGGCTGCATCTTGGTAAGTTTAGCTTGTTTCTGCACAGAAGGATTAGCGTCGGGCAGCCCCGCCTGCGGGGAAACAAGTAAGTTTTCACCAGCGGCCTGCAAACGCAGGCTTTCAGCAAAATTTTCGGCATACTGCTTGCTGAGAGCAAAAGACCCATCGGGGTCGGAGCAGGAGCAGGCACCCAAAGTAGAGCAAGCCAAAGCCGTGGAGGCTATGCGAACGGACCTGCAACCGAGAGCAAGGGAGCAGCCGGGCCCGGCGCACGAAGACAGTGAGTCACTGAAAGGCGGGCATTGCCAAGCCGAGTTATCCGCTGGGCCACAAACGGTGAGTCCGATTTGCAGCTGCAGCACATGAGAAGCGAAAGCAGCCACATGATCAAGTTCGGCTGAGCTGAGAGCTTGATCAAGACACATATGAACATGATAGACTCGGTGAGCCATCACCAGACGCCGCAAGTATTGCCAAGTGGATTGCCGCTCGGGCCTGAGTTGCAAGACCTTATGCTTAACAGGGCCGGTGCACGGCGACCCATAACAGAGAGTTTTGAACCCAACCCCGGCACAAGCATGGCTTACGGCACCTCGTCCACAAAAGAGGTCAAGGACTACAAGTTGTGCAGGCTTCAACACTTTCAGTGGCTCGTGAGTGACAGAGCTTCTGATGTCAAGAAGAGGGCCCAGCGGCGACGCGGGCATGGCAGCATCAGCGTCGGGAAGGGCGAAACCACAAGACTGAAGCTGCGACAGAATGTCGGGGTCAGAATCGCAAACGCCCTTGGTGCTAAAGGCAATTAGCATAACCCGACGACCCTGAAAAGGCGCAACGGAATGGCAGCCGTCACGAGCATTGAAGGCCCAGGAACCTCGACAGAAGTCGAGGTCGCAATCACCTGCTCGCAAAGAGCCACCTGAAAAATGCGTCAAAGGTATCAAGAGGTTCAAAGTCGGGCCGTTATTGGGATCGGTGTGAGGTTGACTTTCAACCGAGTCAGAAATCAGCAGACTAGAAAATTTGTGCATAGGATGTACATGCAGGACACAAGCGCACAAGTATCGACACACATTGGGATAAATTCGGGTGAAATGCCGCAGACCTTTGATAGGGCCGTGAGAATACGACCCCACTGCGAAGACTGATCCTTTGGTTTGCGAAAGCCGTGTCACATCAGACCTCGGCAGAAGGTCGAAGAGCGAAAGCACACTCGCTGCATCGAACAAGTGTTTGCGGTGCAAATCAGCGGCAAGGCCTTCAGGGCCTCCAGGTCGAGGCGCCTTGCACGGCGACTCGAGGTCGCTGTCATGGGATTTCCTTTTAGGAGGATCCACAGTAGCGCAATCAAGCGCTCCAACAGAAGACTCACCGCCCACGCGTGAGCAGGCAACATGCATCCTCTCATCGAGCGAAGCACATGCAGCAACCATTGTTGCGGCTGTCCCTTCAGGACAAGGCATCGCAGGGTTCAGCTCATTAGCCGAACTCGGGGATTGAAACTCCAATGAGTCGTGCCCGGGACATTCCCAGCCACTCACAGTCGCATCGACTACACCCGATAGTCACTCTTTCTTGGGACAGTTAGCGGCAGTGTGGCCACTCTGACGACAACGGGCGCATATATGTATCCCTTTATCACACCTGCCGTTCTTGACAACCCGGCTGCATCCATTGATGTTGTGATCGAAGCATATGGGTTCGCCTGCATTGGTCGAACTGTAGCAGCCAACGAGCGGCTTGGGCAAAACGCCCTTCCCTTTGGCCCGCCCTTTCCCCGCTTTGCCTCGACCTTTCCCCTCTCGATTGTACGGGCCCGGCCTCTCACGAGTGACCCAAGGACCCGGAGGCACATCAGAAGAGGAAGAGGCATTTCCAGGCAAGGATTGCAACAGGACTGCCACATCGCTCAGATCCATCACCAAGGGGACCAGGCCATCCAAGGGGCGGCCAGCCGACGTGGCCTGGATCCCGGCACGACAACGGTCCTGCAGTTCCGAAAACAACTTCTGATCAGCCCGCAAGAGCTGCTTGAAGCTGGGTCGAACATGCCCCGCCGGCACCTCCTGCATCCGTGCCCTGAGCAATTTCTGATGCCAGACATCAATGACAGCAAAGTCGACAATGTTAGCCTGATCTAGGGCAAGGGCCCTGCGCTGCAAAGCCTGAAGAAGATGCACTTCGGAATCGACCTGACACTTGTCGTCCGGGGCCTTCGACTCAAGCTTCAAGGTCTTACCCTGAGCATCAAGCGTGAATCGAGTGTCCTTTTTGGCATCACCTTGAACCTCAGCATGCCTGCTTGTGCACTTCTCCCAGGCAACGTAGCGCAAGGTGTTCGACTCATATATGTTAACGCAAAGATCGACCAAGGCCTGACTTGGTTCAGCCTCGCCTTTTATGTTGATCCCGGTTAACTTCTTCACCTGACGAGTGTAGCGTTCCTCACGCTCGGGCGCGCTGAGAGACCGGCTGGGAGCGTCCTCAGTGCGCTCAATGGCTTGCCTGAACTCTGTCGTGACAATGGCATACGCCTGCTGAAAAAGAGCCCTGAAGCAAGCTTGAGCTGCCAAGTCAGCGCTTGTGTCCCTTTTGACAAGAGCATCCAAAGCAGTAATCAAAGGCTTCTCGTCGGCTTGCCCTGGTGTGTAAGAGCTGACAAATGCCAGCTGTTTCAAATTCTTCAAACCAGCCAACACATTAGACTGGTCAGCAGCCGACAGGCCCGAAGTTCTGACCTTGTCGCTGAAGACAGCCTCGGACTCCGAGTACGAAGCCGCCATGGCGTGACCCGGAGCACTAAGCTACAGGCACTACCACCTCAGGGGCATGGTTCGTCGCAGGTGCACGGTTGCAAGGCGTACAGCGTCAAGCTCACAAGCCCCTCACATACCATGCATGCCGGCGTGCGTCGAGCTCAAAGCCCCTCACATACCATGCATGCCGGAGGCAATCCCCAGGCGCACAACCGCTCAAGTTGCATTGACCTCTCGCCGATCTCGCGTGAAACTCAAGGCCCGTCCTGGTCAGGACAGCATTGCCTGCAAAGGGGAAACAAAACATTGGGCACCGCCGTCTGGAGGTAACTAGTCGACGGCTTGCGGCCGCAGACAAAGCGATCGCCCTCATCATTGCTAGCCATCAAGTGAATGACCCTAGTCGTCTTATGTTTAAAAACTGGACCTTCGCCGATCATTTCACGCAGACCTGGACGAGGCTCCCAGGAGGCCAGCGCATCGCAGGCCTTCTCAACCTCATCGTGGTCCGGAGCTTCTTCGTCGTCACTTCCACTGGAAGAACTGTCGAGCTCTTCTTGCTCCGGGGCATTGGGATCAAAGCCGGCATCCTTACGACTTGGGAAGTATCCCGAGCGCGTGCTGTCTGGCCTGAAGTGATCCAATGCCACCGCACTGATGACCGATCCGAGCTGCCTCAGTGGGCCGCTCAGCGTGTCCCTGGCGTATACCAGCTCCGTCCCACAGTGAGTACTGTGGTAACCCAAAATGGCCCTCACACCTTGCTCAGTGCCATATTTAGCGAGCCAGCTCAACAAGGTCCTCTTCAAGCTGTGGGTTCCAAGCTTCCTGATCTCCAAAGTGTCTCCGAGCTCCCGCCTCAAGAGTTCTCGAAGAATCCTCGCAGCATGCTCGGCCGAGATGGGCAGCAGGCTGAACCCTCCTCCAGTGACAGGCGACGACAGTAAGGGATGACCTTCTCGAAGGATCACCCCCTGCTCTTCATGAGCTCGTACCATGCAGTCCCCCAAGACTCATCAAGCAGTCCATTGATAGGCGCCACCATTGGAAGGTATCTCGTCTTACGCTCCAGAGTGTACGACGTTTTGGACCTCGTGACAGAGGCCTCTAGGAAGCCATAAGGGCCATCTTCGTTCTCGGTGATATCAAGCAGAAGATTGGCCGAAGCTTGGGCATCGGAGAATCGCGCCCGAGAGTACAAAGTATAGCAGAAAAACCCAGCGCAATGTCTATCGAAGCCACTGTATTCTTCAATAGTGCTTCCCATCACTATCTTCTCAAGCGTCCTCACATGCAACACTGTAAGCGCCGGCTTCTGGACAGCCTTCCTTTTTTCAAGGTACCTGGCCTTGGCTACCCCTTGTATCCTGCCACTGATGGTCACATGCAGATCGAGGCCCAAGACATGCACAGAAAAATTCAATGACTCAAGGAAGCTTCTCCCAAAGGTTGCCGCCGCCGCCCGACAATACTGGTCCATGAATGCATATAGAACACTCTCAGTCAGAGGAAAAGCTTCGAAGCCAGCAGACTTGGTGAATTTTACATAACGCGTCATCGGTCCCACTCTCGAGTGCAAAGTCGCACTTGCTTTGCCTGCAAAGCAGTCCTTCAACGTCTGAACCAAGTCGGCCCTGCGTCCCGCTCCGGCATCGCTACTGACTTCCCTGTAGCAAGCAAAATGCGCACCGTGAGCCATAAGCAGAGCTTCCCATTTCGCCACAGCAGCCCGTCTGTTATCAGTCAGCTTCTCCTCCCAACTGGGCCCCTTGGTTGCCGGCAGCTTGCCCAATACTTTCACAGCAACAGAAGTTGTCGCAGCCTTCGAAGAAGCCGATCCTGGAGCAGACAGCACCTGGGCAGCCACCTGAGGCCTGCCGACACTCGGAAAGGAAGAAGTGAAAGCTGGCCGAGGCGCCAAGATGTCGCCCCTCTCCCAGGGCTGCTTCTCAGATTTAGTAGTCGAAACACGGACAGCATATATCAAGTGATCCTCCAATGCACTGCTGTCCCTCTTCCTTCTCAAGTGACCAGCAAGGTCAGTATCCATGGATCGGCCCTCTAAGAAGAAACGTCAAAGTTTCAGTTCGAGGGCCCGTTAGAACCTGTTCAAAGCAGCACCCCCAGGCCATGTAAAAATTTGCCCGTTCAAGGAGGCGCTCCCTCCCACCCACCCTTGAACAAAAGTGGCAAATAGAATCATTCACTCCGCAAGGAAGGAACTTGAAAAAGGAGTGGTTCAATACAAGCGTGATTCAAAAACGTGATTGCGAAATCAAGTTTTTGGCCACTGCCAAAAAGCATCGTCCGGGTATAAAACATTAAGAACTTCGCTCCGCTCCGTTCTAAATCTGCCTCCATGGTTTCCACGGTGTTGTCCCTTGACCCACTACGGAGTGAAATCAAGGAAATTCAAAAGAAAGGGAAAACTCAAACACTGTACAGGAACGCACGTGCACCGACCTGCTCACGATCGTATGCGGTAGCTCCCGCTTTAGTAGGGGTGTCTTCCCCAACGCCAATCCGATCCCCACTGTTGGTACCGGTAGTTGCTGTGTAGGGCCTGTATTCCTCCCAGCCTTGGTTGTGGTTCCCACTCCAGTTATTCCGCTCGTCCCGGTTCCAGATTGTGGTACTTGACCGCCAGCTGGAGCTACAAGTCCTCCCAGAATACTCTGTTCTGGTTTCAGTGACGCTGTCCTCGGTGACACTGAAATGGGTCTCGTCGTCCGACCAGGGTAAACGGTCCCCTCCTCGGAAGACTCGTATACTGTAGTGGCCGGGTGGCTCGCAGTAGCTGCTCCTTCGACAGTACGGTTGTCAGATCCGGGTCTGTGTGTCACTGAACTTGGTCCCGCACTCGAGCTGCTAGCTCCACTCGCCACACGCTCCACTGCTCTGTCTCTGGCGAAGCTAACACGGGCTTGCTTCCCAGGTCTGTCCTCCAAGAAACGCTGGGCAAAGGGCGTTCCACGGAAGACTGCTTCTCGTGCTTTCTGAGCACGTTTGTAGTTGACGCTGTTCCTGTCCCTCGGCTCAAGCCCTGTCCACAACGACCTTTCGTCGTCCACGAACTCCCTGGTCTCAGGGACCGCCGCCAAGTTGTTCCGGCTCCCACTCTGCAAGGCGAGGCCCTCGAGGTAGCTGAAGTCGAAGGTGGGAGCAGCTCTGGCTTCACGCACCTCAACTTCCTCCTGCCCTTCGTTCTGGGCCTGCTCCTCGTGGTCAGCCTCACGCTGAAGTCGCCTGGCCAATCCTCGCGCAAGTCGGCGAGCGATCGCCTCAGGAGACCTTGTACTTTCTCCCTTGGTCTTTCCACGGCCCTTTCTTCCACCTTTTCCCGTCTCTGCGGGTCGGCCGGGCCCTGCTCACGGACCTCGGTTGCAGAAGCTAGCAGAGCCCCTTCGGAGGGGTTACGCGGTAGCTCCCGCCGTTCAGGGGTCTTTCCCCCTAGTCAGTTTCGGAGCCCTGGCTGCCCGACCAGAGCTCCGCTACCATGCGCGGAGTGCAAAACCCTTGCTAACGCACTTCTTTTAAGCCACAACAGGGCTGCAGGTAACACGTACTGGGAAGAACCGTGGCTTTGTAAGTGTTTATATAGATTGCAAGCATGTTGTTAAATAGCTTGCAACCCGGTTGTATCTATATTGCAAATCACTTATAAGTGTGATAAACAAATACAACTGTTAAGAGACTTAGCTAAGTGTTTACATAAGTGGTGTAAGTATGTTAAACATTTACAAAGGTTAGGGGGTTTAGCTAAAGTTTAGCTAAGTTAACATAACTTTTTGAAGTACAGTTCTTATATAGGGAAATGACTATGTTAGGCACGTAAATGACTTGTGTTTCAAGGGTGCATGTATACAGGGGGGGGCAGGGCGGACAATTAAATGCATATCCTGTTGCCATGCAGCCGTTTTTTTCAAGAGAACTTGGAAAAGATGAAGCCTGCCTGGGCTACGGCCGTGGAGCAGGCATTGAAGAAAGATGCTCCGGCATTGGAGAGATGGACGGAGATCGAAACTATCCTGCAGGAGAGCAGGAAGTGCTACAGGCAGGTGCTGCGGCCGGGTCAAGTCCTGGTGCACCCGTCGAATCGCTCAGGGTTAGGATTGAATGGAGCCCAAGTTCACAAGACAGGGGCCCAAGTGCAATCTGTAGGCTTCAGCTCCATGGAGCTGAAGCGAAGTGTTTGCATGGAAATATCCACGGATAGAGCTCTGAGCCAAAAGGCCTTTAGTTTCAACAAGCGGCAAGTGGATATGAATGGAGGGCTGCTAGCTGAGGTGCGAGGCGATGAGCGATACATGTCGTTAGCACGCAGTCACTTTACGGCATTTTGCCGTGCCTGCATTGCAGCATGTCCCTCGGACCAAGAGACGGTGTCGGACAACGGCAAGCTCACGTTGCAGCGATTGTCTACGGACTTTCGGCAGGCCGTGGATAATGGATGGGAGTGGCTGGTGCTGTCAGCGGAAGTTGATGCAGTACTGCCCTCGCTGGCCTCCTTCGTTCAGGAAGTCATGAATGCAGCCCAAGGAGTTGCAAGAACGGCAGGCGAGCTGGAGCTCGCCATGGCGATGGTGACCCGAGCAAAGTTGCTGGCAGAGCAAGGTTTGTGCATCGACTGGGATGTTGTGCAAGCTGATGTAGCAGCCACGGTGCCGGATGCCTCGCCACAGACCGTGGCCGCTTGCGGGTTGTTCTGCAGATTCTATGCAGGAGGAACCGAAGCACCTCTGCTGAAGTTTTTGCACGACTTTTCCTTGAAATATGGGGCAAGCAAAAGATTGGGAGAGGAATTCATGTCCACGGTCGCCGGCCTCCGGTTTGCAGGGCAGGAGCGATCGCATGCTTTCGCAAGGGCTGCGATGATCGCGACGAACCTGACAGCCACAAAAGTGGTAGACGGTGTGGCTCGGCTGCTGAGCAAGAGCGATGTCAGCAGGCTCTGCGCGAAAGGCATGGAAGATGCTGTAAAGGATTGGGAGGAGCTTCTTGCTCGTGCCTGGGCTCACACTCAGAATGTGACGGATGCAAGGGCACGTGCCAAGGCAGTTGAGGGCTTCGGTCGCCTGATGGTTCGCAGCACCCTCTTCATGCGCAAGAAAGAGAAGTCGGGGCAAGAAGGCCTTGAGCACGGGTCATTGGCCAATTTGCTGACTTTGTACGAACACGAGATGGGTGGCAAGAGTGCCGGTGCAACACCGGCTGCTGCTACAAAAGATGGGCCGTCTGATGCGGCCCCTGCGACCTTGGATAACATGCAGGACCCGGCCTTCCTGATGAAGCTGCAAGGCTTCGCAGAGGGGAACCTGTACAAAGGCAAGCAGAAGTATCAGGACATCTGGCCTTGGAAGCTGGAGAAAATCGGCCAGAGCCACGGCTCTTTCTCGCTGTCTTGCCCAGTGAGCTGGGACAAGAAGGTCGAGGTGCCTCTGAGCGAGCTCAAGAAATTTTTCGATCTGTATAGCGGAGATGCACCCGAAGTGGTGTCTGACTCTGTGGACCGACTGCCCCATAATACGGAGGCTTGCAGCCAAGAGAGACTCCGAGGAGAGTTCTTCGAGCTCTGCTGCGAGTATTTCCTGAAGTACTCGCACTGTGAAGAGGAGTTGACCTTTTTGAAGAATCCCACGTGCTGTCTGTTGGAGGGCAAAGCCAAGACAGGCAAGCTGACGATCTTCCCCTTCACGGATCAGATTTCAAAGCTTGGCTTAAAGCCGGCAGCTGGCAGTGTGGAGGTTTGGCATTCGGCCTCGGGCACAAGCTTGTATATTTCACCCCCGGCTGCAGCCGGAAGTTTGCTATCTGCCTTCTGGCAGATCCCGGTCGGCTCAGAGCCGAATCTGGCGACAGTCCTTCTGAACGAGAAGGGCTGGAAGATTCCCATTTTGAAGAACACTGCTTCGCTGAAGGAGTGCATCCTGTACAGGCCGAAGCCTGCCGAAAGTTTGAGGGCCTCGGCCCAATAGCTGGATCAAGGATCCGCTGCCTCGCGAAAGCGAAAGGCTTCTTGAGTTACTCGACAGTCCTCGCTTGCTGAGTTTTCCGGGAAAAGGAGCCAAGGTTGATGTCTGCAATGGAACTTTTTGGCGCTTTTGCAAGTGTGAATTCAAGGATGGTTTGCAGGCACGTGTTGTTGATCTTTCCATAAAGTTCGGCTCAAGGCTAATATAGGTACAATGCCGCTGGTAATCGAAAGAGTATATGTCCTGAAGCTGGATGGTGCCAGCTGGACTGTGGGTGACAAGGAGCTAGAACCAACGGACCATGGTCCGTTTGTGGTACTTCGTCCATGGAGCCCGGGCTTGTGCAAGCTGCTTTCTAAGCAGCATAGCATAAAACTGCCAAAATACCCGGCAAAGTCATCGTTGTCCCAGAGCGATGTTTATCTATCGCTCGTGGGCTCCCGAAACGATGCCTCCAAGGAGCAGCAGTCCAAGCGGCAGGCAGAGAAACTAAAGAACAGAGCTCTGGCCTTTTCGGCGGGGAAGACAGCGAGGCTGCTCTAGTGTCTGTAACAGGCAGCTCTCCGAGAAAAGCAGCGAAGACTCGCTTGTCCCGCCGTGCTTCCAGGGAAGCAAGAGCAGAAAAGAATGTGCTGAAGGTTACCTGGGTGGGAAAGGAGATCCGTGTCCTGGAGGCGGGCCATGTCACGGATGTGCCCAAAGTCCACTTGGATGATATGGCACTGTTCTTTGAAGCAACACAAAATGCCGTGCTTACTGCTGAGTCTTTTCAGACTAGAGCACGGCAAAGCTTTCCTAAGGGAACTGCTGCGAAGGACAAAGTCGTGAAAATCGGCCAAGGCCGCCAGGCTCAACGGACAGGCGACGACAGAAGGTATTCGCTTGTCAAAAAAGCCGGGGCCAAGGCCCGGCCCTTGGATCCCCTGCCGCTGCAGGAGGCTGAGGCGACTGCGGCTGCCAAAAGGGCAGCAAAAAGCCAGGGGCAGTCCTCCAAACGCAGGAAGCCTGGGGTGCTAGTGAACTGAAGGTTCGTTTGCTTCAGGAAAACCATGCAAAGCCTTGTTGTCTCATGTGCATGCAGTTGTTTGACTTGTAGCCTCGCATGTGCAGGTTGTGAAGTTTGTGCCGGTGTTTGCAGCTGTTTGGGCTCCTGTAGGGAGCCCTTGGATGGGGGCTGGCCTTTTTTACGAGGCCAGGCAAGGGATGGGAGAGGAGACCACGGTTTCCTCGTGGGTGCATGCCACGGCATGCACCAAATACTACATGTATATATATATATATATATATATATACATGTGCTAAAAAGAGTCTGGCTTAAGGGATCTTCCCTAAACCCTATACCCTCCCCGATCCTCTATAAACCCTTTTTTTGTCCTGGCCAGGCGAAGTCGTCAGCCATGCCCAAGCACCGGGACCAGGATAGAAGGAGGAGGAGCTCGAGCTCAGAGGATAGAGAAGAACGACGAGATCCTCGACTACGGTCGAGATCTCACGAAGAGTCCGAGGACCAAAAGAAAAAGGAGGAGGATGGCAACAAAAAGCCAGAGGAGAACGAGAAGAAGAAAGAGGAGGAGGAGAACTTTGAGGAGGAAACTGTGTCCGAGGACAAAGAAAAGGATCCGGAGGAGGAGCCGGAGGAGGCTACGGCCTCGAAGCCAAAGGAGGCGGCCTCGGAGGCTGCGGCCTCGAAGCCCAGAGTCCCTTCTCTGGATGAGAAGACCGCTCCTGATTGGCCGATAAGTGCCGCCGGCAGGCAGAGGCTGGAGAGAAAGCTTGCAACAGCCAGGGTCGCGGCATCCCAGGCAGCTCTCCAGTCCTGGGCAGAAGAAGAGCAGGCCAGAAAGGAAAAGAAGGAGAAAAAAAAGGGAAAGAAGGATAAAAAGGAGAAGGAGAAGGATGAAAAGAAAAGCGAACGAGAGAGATCAGAGAAAAAGGACAAGGAGGTGGATGAAAAATTGAAGGGGGCAAATGAGAAGGCAGCAGATGAGAAGAAGGACAACAAGCCTTCGGACGGGCCCAAGGGCCCGTCCAAAAAGTGCCCCATTTGCTGGAGGTGGATACAGGAGCATGCGGCCGCCCGTCGCCAGCACCGATTGTCCGTGTTTCACCGAACTTGGAAATACATAGCCCAAGGGCTCAGCAAGGAGGCTGCTGCAGGCCGGGCAAAGCGCCGGTTCCAGGAGCACTGGCAGCCTGGGAGGGAAGAGGAGAGCGAAGGGGATATGGCTATGGTGATGTGAGAGGCGGCTCCGGCCCCTCGGGGGCCAAGGCCCATACCGAAGCTGAGAAGGGCCGTCCTGAGCAGGCTAAGGGCACGAAGAAGAGAAAAAAGCCGGGGGCAGGAGCCCTGATTGAGCCCGAGGATGACAAAGAGGATCGAAAGCCGGTGAAGCTTTTGCCCAGGAGTTTGCCAGCTAAGGCTGGCAAGACCGGCCAGGACAAGAAGAAGGGCAGCAAGGCTAAGGGCAGCAAGGCTAAGGCCAAGCGTAAGCGACAGGAGTCGCCGGTACGGGACGATGATCACGTCCCAATGCCGGACAAGAAGGACCCGGACGATCCGGAAGGAGGGTCTGGGAGCTCCTACGGGAAAGTGGTGACGAGCCTTTTCCAAATCGCCTGTCAGGAGCTTCGGCAGCGGTACTAGCTCGGCACAGCCGCCTGCCGTCTTCCGAAAAAACAGAGTGCCGGCTGCCGTCTGGTGAAAAAAAGAGTGTCTCTGCGCTTTTTTCTCTTCTAGGGTTTAGGGTTTAGGGGTTTTTTTTTAAAGAATAATTTTCGGTTAACCTTAAGATTGGAACCTTATCCAAACGTAGAAAATATGATATAGTTTTTTCTATATCATATATATTGAAGGAAACCATATGATATAGTATATTCTATATCATATGATGGCATCGCTGGCCATATGATATAGTTTCTACTATATCATCTAAGTCTGTGGGGCCAGATATCATATGATATAGTTTTTTCTATATCATATGTAATATTTTGGCCTCATATGATATAGTTTCTACTATATCATATGATTGACTTTGTTTTCATATGATATAGTTTTTTCTATATCATATTTTGAGGGTTTTGTGGGCCTGCCGAAATGTGTTCTCTGAGCAGCGGAAAGCCGGGCCCAAGCAGCCGTGCAGCATGCATACAGATGCCCAGAGTCGAGCACAGACAAGGTTTGGTGCAGTTGTGTTCGCAGACAGGCACCCCTTCCTGGGGCCATTTGTTGTGTCACCCGTCCTGTAGCTTGGTTTGTTGTTGCCATGGAGACCCAGCATCCAAGGATGCGAGAAGCCTCCACGGAGGCGTGTGGAAGCCTCCACGGAGGCGTGTGGGAGCCTCCACGGAGGCGTGTGGAAGCCTCCACGGAGGCGTGTATGTGGCTGCTTGCTGCTGCAGGCACAGGGAGAAGAAGGAACTCTCCACGGAGATGTTCCGGCATTTGCTGTTGGTGCGGTGCCGTGGTGATATAGGGCCATGGCCTCCAGCAGCACCGATGCTTTTGCTGAAAGACCAGCGAAGCTTCAGAAGGTGAATGCTCTGAGAAGGAAATTGCCCCATCTCACAGCCTCGGCTTTGTCCGAAGTTTGCAAAGTTCTGCGGGACGAGGGTGTCCCGGAACTCACACAAAGAAAACATATAGCCGAGGCTGCCTGGCAACCCCTGAAAGAGAATAGGATCCTCAATCGTCTGTCACTTTTGCAGACAGATGGTGCAGAGCTGCAGATACCCAGTGTCGATTTTTGGGCTCTGCTGCAAGCTGCTATCTCGGATGCCGACAGCAACTTCGCCCAATATTTTTGGGCGTGCATCGACAAGAATCCTCCGAGCCCCAGCTCGGCATGGCGGCTGATCCTCTATACGGACGAGATCGTGCCGGGTAATCCTTTGGCAGTCCAGACGAAGAGAAAAATCTGGGCTTGCTATGCCTCGTTCGTAGAACTTGGAAGCTATGCATTGCAGCACGAGGAGTCGTGGCTATGCATAGGACTGCTCCGATCCAGCCTGATGGCCAAGGCCGAAGCAGGTGTCTCTCAATGGATCTCGAAAATCCTGCGAGACATATTCATGCGGCCGGCCAACCATTTGGAGCACGGGTGCATATCGTTGCAGCGACCAGGAGGTCCGCCCGTCCTCTTCCGGGTGGTTTTGTCAATGATCGTTCAAGACGGTGGTGCCCATAAAGCTCTATGGAGCTGCAAGGGGGATGCTGGCACCCGCATGTGCATGCTGTGCAGGAATGTAATAGCACAACGATGTGATATCCTGCACAGCAGCGGGCTCCCCGTGGTCGGTTCCTCTGAGATCCGAGAAAGTAAGCTTTCGCTTGCGACCGACCAATCCATCCACGAGGCCATGGCTAAACTGGCAGAGAAGAAGATGCTTCTGAATGCTGCAGATTTCAGCACGTGGCAGCAAGCCACCGGCTGGACTTATAATAGTTGTTCCCTGCTGCAACAAGAGGATCAACGATGGCTGGTCCGGCCGGTCTCACAGTATTGCCACGACAGCATGCACACCCTGCTGGTCTCCGGTGTCTTCCAGACAGTGACCTGGCTTGTTTTGGAAGCTTTGCAGAAGCAGTTTCCCAATCTCTGGGAAATCGCCGACGAGTACGTGGCCAAGTGGACCCTGCCCCGGAACATCTCGGCCAAGGCCGAAGGGATGCTGGGTCAGTCCCGAGCAAAAGCATGCAAGGAAGCCGAGACCTTTAAATGCACGGCCTCCGAAGGCTTGACACTGTCTCCAATATTGGCTTGTTTCTTCAGGCAGCTCGCCAGGGCAAATGCAAATGTTGAGGCAGTGCAAGCGATCCAATGTTTCTTGCAGCTGGACAAACTCGTGGCATGCTGCCAGAGAGCTCGCAGTGAGGGAGCGGTTTCGCCCGGCCAGATGAGAAAGCACGTTTCCGATTTCTTGCAAGCAGTGCATGCTGCTGAGTGGCAGGACCGCATGCATTCCAAGTTCCATTGGCTTCTCCACTTCGGTTCGCACCTGGAAAAGTGGGGTTTCATGGTTCAGTGCTACACTCACGAAAGAAAGCATCGCACTATCAAGAGATTCGCCGAGGACATCAAGAAGACTTCTGCTTACGAGCAGGGTCTTCTCCGAGAAGTTCTTGGACAAGAACTATATTGCTTGGCAAGAGCTGATTGTTTCGCAGCGATGCTGCAGTTGCAGGACCCGAAGCCAGCTTCTCGGAGGAAGGCGGCAGCACTTCGCAAAATCATTCCGGAGCTGACCTCGGCACAAGTGATTCATGTGGCAGAAAAAGTCAGGCTGCCCTCCGGGGAACGGATATGTCGTGGCGATGCGGTGCTGCTTGAAGGGAACGGTTGCTTGGAGTGTGCCCTTGTCTGGGCATTCGTGGAACTGGCAGGGCAAGCCTACAGTGTTGTGCATTCCATTTCTTCTCTGCTTTGCGATGACCTCGTGGGGGAGTGCTCCTGCATAGACAGCCTGCATCTGCTGCCATGCAGAGACTTTCTGTGTGCATGCACATGGAGAGACATGGCCGGAGGCCGACGACAAATCATCCTGCCTGCTTCCCTCCGATGAAAAAGATTGATCCTGCATGCATCCTGGATTTTGGGAATCTGCACGTACACACACATGCAGGCGACCTGTACCATGCTCTTTTTCCATGGATGTGCATGCAGCTGCCATTTTGGCTCCTGTAGTGGGGTTGTAGCATCTTGGCTCCTATAGAGGGGGCTTCTGGATTCTCCTTTTCTGGCCACGGCTATATATATCTCGCCACGGCGAGATGGCCCGAGAGTTGCAGGCCGAGTTAAGCCCTATGGCCGAGTGGGCACAAAGTGGGAGCAAGGCTTCGGTCGATGCTTTGATGAACAGCTGGTGCACCCGGCTGGAGAGCCTTGGCTCTCTGTCGTTAGGGCAAGCCATGCAGATGAAGCAGACGATCCAGGATCTGAGCTTCGAGAGCACCCTGTCAGAACGGTTGCTTGAAAAAGTTGAAGCCAAAGTTCTGGCAACGGCCACGGCTGCAACACCGCCGCCAGATACTACATATACGCCGAACAAGCGAAAGGAGGAAAGCAAGCCGCAGACCTTGCTGAAGCCGGAAAACTTCATCACGGTCACTGAGTGGTCTATGCTGGAAAAGTCGCCAGCACCGGCAAGGCTGGAAATCCTTCTGAAAAGGTATCTGCAGCTGGGCCTGAGGAACCTCACAGAACAGACGGTCAAGAAAGGCCTGGCCTTCCTCTTGGCACTGGCAGCCGGCGAGCTCAGTCAGATGCCGACATATGAAGAGATCTACGAAGAGGTCCAGGTCTTCAAGAGATCTTGGGAATCCGTGAAAACGGATGCAGAGCCGACTGAGGTCGGCCTGCTCACGTATCCCGATGACCCCAGCAGCTTGCCGAAGGCTCTGTTCGACCGAGCCTACAAGGCTGAGGACCCGCCCATGGGCAAAGACGTGAGGGCTGGGATCTGGCTAGCTCACATTCCGATGCGATCTACTTCCAAGCTCTTGCAGAAGAACAAGAAGCAGAGGCTGCCGAGGCCAGATGGCCAGGCCGCCGTGTCTGAGCAGCATGCGAACGAGTTCCAGAGCCGCATGGAGCAGTGCTTCGGGCGACTGGAAAGAATGCTGGACCAGGGCTGCGGTCAGAATGCCATCCAGGATGGTGGGCGAAGGGAGCTGCAGCTTGCTGCAGGCGCAAGTATCTTGCAAAGGAGGACTGCATGCTTCTTTTATCTTTTCCTTTGTTTTGCATCTGTATACACAGCCCATGCATGCTTTTCCATTTGTATACCTGCTGCAGGACCCCTGGACGGAACTCCATCACAGCAGGCGAGCTGAGCAGCAGCAGTGCCGGGGTCGGCTTTGCTCTGGGCAACCCAGCCCAGCCGGTTTCGGCTGCGACACAGCAGACCTCGCCAGGGCGACAGTCGGCCTTGCCGCTAGCCCTGCCTCCAGCCGAAGAACCCGAAGCAACGGAGTCGCTCCCTGCCGAGAACGATCTCGAGGACGAAGCTTTGTTCAAGAAGCTCAAAGATCGCAAAGCTGGGATTCTGAAGAAGCCGGCCGCTGCAGCTGCAGCGAGTGGCCAAGGAAACTTGGCCAAGAACAAGACAAAAACGAATGGCCAAGGCCAAGATCCAAAGAAGAAGGGCAGCGGCAAAGGCAAAGGGAAAGTCCAAGGACAAGAGTGCTTCGAAGAAAGGCCAAGGCAAAGCAAAGGAGCAGCAAGCCCAAGGCTCGCATGGAAAGCGGAAGTTCCAAATTGTCTGGGAGGACGGCTGCATCCAGAAGAACTATGCTTCTCGCATGTACAAGCGAGCCGGAACGTGAGGCTTCTCGGAGCAGCAAGTGGTAGAGTGCCAGCGAGAGGCCCACAGAGAGCCATTCTGCTGTGGAAGAAGAAGAACGGCTGCTAAGCCAGCTGTGCAGGGCTCGAAAGCGATGCAATGCCAACCAACTTTTTGCTTCTGCTCATGTGCGTGTGCACACATGAGCATGTGCATCACCGACTTAATCGGCATGCTGCACAGATCACGATCGTTTAATTCCATGCAGTTAATGGCTGCATCCCGACTCAAGATCGCATGAGAGACAGATGCGAGGACAAAAGCCGAAGCTTTTTTTGTATATATATATATATATATGTATATATACATATATACATGCAGGGCATGCATGACATGGTGCTTTTCATACAGTATATATATGCGACCTGCTGTCGCCATGTGGCTCAAGTGCTGTGATAGAAAAAGTAGACTGCGAGTGCGTCGCGGCCACGGCCATCCTTATAAGCTCCTGCACACGTGCAGTTTCTGTGGGCCAAGGCCTGTGAAATGGGAGGAGCCTGCAGCCGCCGTTTGAGGATGGACCCGTGTGCAGGACCATGCACGGAATGCGGTGCCCCCAGTTCAGTTGCTGCAGAGTGAAAAATGCACACCTGAACCACTGGTGTGCAAAATGCACAATCAAGTGGTACAACGAGAGGGATGTCCGTCGCAGCAACTACAGAAGGGCATGGAGGGAGTGCGAATATATGAATATCGTGGAGTCCGGGGACGAGCATGCTCTCCCTACCGTGACCGAGCAGTCCTCTCCAGAGTATGAAGACAACTGGAATTCCCAGCAGGAAGTGGCTGAGGAAGAGGAGCATGAGGAAGAGGAGTCTGAAAACTCAGCAAGCTGAAAGAAGCAAGCTTTCTTCCAGGCTACGGCCCCTTTTGCTGCAGGCATGCAGAATGGGATGCAGAAGGCTACGGCCTCCCATGTATATTATATATCTGCTGAAATGCAGCCGTTCTCAGGCTACGGCCTTAAACGAGTTTCTCTAGCCGGAAGACCGTGAACGACCGGCATGCAAAAAAAGACTTCTGTTTTGCAGGGTTCGGGTTTAGGGCTTGAGGCTTTTATGTTCAGGGCTTGGAAGGTTTAGACGTATAAGGGACCCCTTTATGTTACTTAGACTAACCCCCTTTTCTAAGCTATGCTAACCCCTATAGCTAAACCAACTTAACCCTTTACATTTGTTTGTAAACAGATAGCTAACCTCGTAAAGTATGTTAACCATTTACAAGCCACCGGTTCTTCCCAGTATTGGGCTCACTGTACAACAAGTTAAAGTTCAAGGGAAAGGCTGCACATACATCGTGGTATTTGCGCAGTTCGGCACCGTCAGTACTGCACAAGCCTCTCAGCGAGCTAACCGCTAACCCTCCAAACTGTACAAGGAAGGCAACAAACTACTCAGCGACAAACAGAGGTAGAAGAGAACCGTCGTCCAGCAAGTACCCGAAGAAGCGGTGAGTTCCCCAAAACAAAGGTCCCCGGCCGTCGTTCTAGTCCCGTCGGACAACGAGCGACCCTGCAAACTTCGTTTCTGCGTTGTCGTGCGCACCAAAGTCCAAAACAAATGGAGCCAACCGGGAGCCCAAACCCAAGGCCGCAAGGGAAACACCGTTCTCACGCTTACTAACTGAAACCTTACAACCCGGTGAGAAAAGGCACTGTCCGAAGCAGGGAAAACGAGGCACATGCCAGGCCAAAGGTGGCAGAAGCGGAGTTCACACTCTTACTAACCGCAACATACACCGAAGGAGTCGCGACCATGCCAATCGGCAACAACCAAGCAACGCAGAGCAAAGCCCAAACCCTGGGCCGAAAGGCAGGCAGCGTTCAGAACCTTGCAACCCGGTGAGAAAAGGCACTGTCCGAAGCAGGGAAGGCAAGCCACATGGCAGGCCAAGGGTGACCGAAGCGGCGCTCTCGCACTTACTAACCGCAACATTCACCAAAGGAGTCGCGATAATGCCAAGCAGCCACAGAGCAGAGCCCGAACCCAAGCCGTAAGGGAAGCAGCGTTCTCGCGCTTACTAACTGCAACCTTGCAACCCGGTGAGAAAAGGCCCTGCCCGAAGCAGGGAAAACGAGGCACGTGGCAGGCTAAAGGTGGCAGTTGCGGCGTTCTCGCTCATACTAACCGCAACAAGCACCGAAGGTAATGCGACCATGCCAGACGGCAGCAGCCAAGCAACGACAGAGCAGAACCTGAACCCAAGACCGTAAGAGAAGCAGCGTTCTCACGCTTACTAACTGAAACCTTGCAACCCGGTGAGAAAAGGCACTGTCCGAAGCAGGGAAAACGAGGCACATGCCAGGCCAAAGGTGGCAGAAGCGGAGTTCACACTCTTACTAACCGCAACATACACCGAAGGAGTCGCGACCATGCCAAGCGGCAACAACCAAGCAACGCAGAGCAAAGCCCAAACCCTGGGCCGAAAGGCAGGCAGCGTTCACGCCGTTACTAACTGCAACCTTGCAACCCGGTGAGAAAAGGCACTGTCCGAAGCAGGGAAGGCGAGCCACATGGCAGGCCAAGGGCGACCGAAGCGGCGTTCTCGCACTTACTAACCGCAACATTCACCAAAGGAGTCGCGATAGTGCCAAGCAGCGGCAACCAAGCGACAGAGCAGAGCCCAAACCCAAGGCCGTAAGAGAAGCAGCGTTCTCGCACTTACTGACTGCAACCTTGTAACCGGTTGGAAAAGGCACTGCCCGATGCAGATGCTAAAAGGCAAGCAAAGAAACGGGCGTCCCTGAGCCACCGATACGCCTACTTAGGCGCCTCCCGCTAACCAAAGCTAAATAAACATAAAAACAGATGGGTGGACTCGGCACGTGGGGTAAGCGCGGGGCGCAGTGGAGCTCCGATAGTTGCAGAGTCTTGGCACCAAACCCTCAGCACTCCGTACCGGTAGGAGCTGGCAAGGTCTTGAAGGAACCTCAAGTCCAAGCCTTGGCTTAGCGACTCCAGCCTTTCCTTGCCCCAAGCGCTGAAACTCTTGCAGAGACACAGCAACAGCTAGGACTTAACGCACACGGACAAAGAGCTGTGGACTTGCAAGTTTGCACAGCCTACACTCCCATAAAGCACCCCACTACCACCAAACAACTAGTTATGCCTCAGCCCCAGAAGCATGTCGAGGTTGCAACGTCGATTCAGCAGTATTTTGCAGGACGTGATCCCGAGGTCCTGCTTTGCGATCTCATGCCACCGCTGGTAAAAAGCCCCACCGACGAAAAAGGCAGTGCAACCTTCTGAAACAAATCTTCCTTCAGCCTTTGTGTGTCTCTGAAGTTTCATGTTTCTGCTTCTTTTGTCCGTTTTCAACCCACTTGAGCGTGATCGTAAGGCTTTCAAGTGCGCCACCATTGTCCACATCGATCTGTGGTGCGCCTTATCTGTCACTGTCCTCAGGTCCAGGGCTCACGAGACTCTTGCTTTTCATGGAGCCGTTGGACGAGCTCCCACTTACGCGCCTGCATTCTCCGATCGTCATGCGCGTGCGCCTTTCGGAGGAGATCGTGGATTCGGAGAGCGGCGAGCGGAAGATAATCCACAGCGCGGCTTGGTGGAGATGAACCAGTGGTGCCGTGGGTCAACGACAACTTCCACTTCCTCATGCCGGTGTTCCCCCTCGCTGGAAACCTAGGCCGGCTCCTTGGCAGCTTGGAGGAAACTTCTCTTGGCAGGAAACAGACCGAAAAAAGAAGTTGGACGCAGAAGGTGCCTGACGTGACTCTGAGCCTCTTTTTTGGCGTGAGCGGGCCTCGTCGGCTACGGCTGTAGCACTCGGCCCCTACAAACAAAACAAACCAACAAACAGAACCAAAAACAGTGGTGAAACAGACGGCTTAAGAAGTAAGGCAAAAAGCTAGCTGCGGCGCACAGGCTTTGCCGGTGTTGGCCGTTCAACATGAGCTACGGGGCCTCAGCGACCGATCCACAACAGCAAAGGCCGTCGCATAGAGCTGTCCAAGACCACCGGTGGAACCCAAAGTCGGAGTTCCGGCCGCCGTTCTAGTTCCGTCGAACAACGGTCAGCCCCGGGGTCCTGTTGTTTCTCGATCGTGCACACAAACGTGACTCTGAGCCTCAAAAAATCCGGGTTTGTGTGCTCTTCCAGTGAGGTACGTAACGAACTCCAGGCGCGTCGGGAGACAACGGACCCCAAGATTTTCACCTGCATGCGCGACCTTGGGGTGGACTGTGCCTTGGGCAGGTGTCGGCGTGTGAAGCAACAAAAGAGCCGTTTCAAAAGAGGTGCGGCCAGAAACCGGAAACTTGGTGCGCTAAAAGTCCCCCAGCCGAGCGCCTGCCTGCGGCTCTTTCGGGGAGGCACCATGCTCTGGGGTCACCAAGCCTTGGGTGAGCCGTCCGCTGGGCCGCCACAAGTTTGGAAACATCGATGTGGTGTACGACTTCCAAGCCCACCGGACGCGGGACCCAGAGATTGACCTCACCACCCAACAGGTGGAGTCGTGGTTCAAGATCTTAAGCAAGTGGAAGGGAGACCGTTGGGGTTGTGCCCTGTCCTGGCACAAAACCGCGGACACAGAAGACCGCTGGCGGAAAGTCAAAGAGCCACCGTCGCTTAAAAGCAGGACCTTGGGTGGTCTGCGCCGGGCCTCCTTCAGTGGAGAAACCCTGCCGGCCGCACGTACGCGGCAAACACAAAGCTGGGGCAGCAACTCGCCAGAACATCTCCGCAACGAAGGGCCCAACGCCTCGGCCGCTACCTTCACAGGAAGCAAGGGCATCAACTGGACCAAAGCCAGAGCCCTCCACCGGACCTGGGCAGACAAGTCCCACCAGAGCGAAAGGGATGCAAGCCATCTGGCAAGCTGGCCTCTTCCATGATGGTTTGGGAGGGCAACGAGACTGCCCGGTGTGCAAGGTCCCCTGTACCTGGACCCACGCCCTCTTTGACTGGGCCAACAAGGCCAGGTTGGTGGGATCTGGACGCCCAGGCTGCCGACTCCAGGCATTCTTGCACACAGGAGGCCACGCTCCCTGCAACGGCAAGCATCAATGTTTAGAGGCGAGCTGTACGCTGTGGGTTTGCTCTTTAATGAAGCATAC